GAAAAACTTGCATCTAAGCACAGGATTAAGGATTTGGTTCATGCTGATCAGTTTGAAACATTCTTGAATAGGATGGCTTGAATCTAAGTAATAAAACTAAAAACTGGACTGCAGACCCAGATTTTGAATTGATGAGTTTGGAAGCACATAGAGCTTTGGTTTTAATCTTGTTGTAAAGTTCATAGCTAGATCAAAGCACAGAGTTTGGGGGCAAGATGATTTCCTGTCCTGAATGTTTTTTATGATTTATAGTAGCAGAAATTAACCTTAAAATGTAATACAACTACATCCTTCACTTCTATGTTAGATTCCTGCTCCAACATAAATAGATGCAGTCTCCTCTCAACCTTCATTTAGAGGTACAGTTTGCTTTATTGCTTCATCACATTTCCAGGCATCAGTAGTAACCTTGGGAATGGTGCACTACAAGAGTCAGCTTCTTTGCATTAGAGGTTACCTGCATTTTCACCCATGCAAAGAAAATTTCTTTCTGATTAACTAAATCCCTTGTAAGTCCTAACTAGTAAGAGTTCCCAAAAAGCAAGAAAGGTGCAAAAATCAAGCTGACTAATAGAGACTAACACAGAATAAGAATATTCACACTTCTTATGAATGTTATTCATGTAGTGATAAATCTTTATCCATGTTCATGTGCAAATGTAGAATATCAAGTCTTGTTCTCTATTATTGCTTGCAATTGCCAGAAAGTGCTAAAATATCTGTGTTGCTTTTTTTCTCAGATTTATGGCATTTATGAGCTGTAGATATCAGACGTTTTCCAAACAGTGATATCATTTAATGGAAGAAAGACAACACTAAAAATGCTTTAGCAATAGTGGGTGCTATCTGCTCTTGCACAAAAAAACTCTTGAGTCCAAAGTGGCTTGGTGAACGTTTGTCCTAGAAAAATTCAGAACTACAGAAATTTGTATTTCTTCTTCAGTGCCAAATAGCAGGCATTTGAAATTTCCTTAAAGGTGAATCTTTTTCAACAGAGAAGGCATGGAGAAGAAGCAGCATGGGGGGAGACAGAGTGAGTGCCTCTTAGAAGAGCATATGTGAAATTCCACTTTGAGAAGCATAATAAGGAACTGCTCACGGTAATGTAAAACAGGACCTCTAACTTGTTTTGTTGATCTTAGTAAAACAGGCTCAATAGTGAACTCTTCACTGGGGCTAAATACAGGAATCCATACACTCTGAAAGTATGCACACAGGGGCACAGGGCTGCCACATTGTTTGTGCAGAGGGACCCAACACGAAGAGCTGGCAAAGCGATCTCGTTTTGCAAGCAAAGTTACTTGAAGCTCCCCAGCCACGATGCATATGTGTTGTCAGTTTAAGGCAGCTAGCCCCAGACTTGGAATACGCTGGCTGCGTGCCTGCCCTTTGCCCAGGCAGGGGGCTGGAGTGGGGGACTGCAATGCCTGATGATTCCTACTGACAGCAGTTGCCTTGTTGGATAGCAAATGGCAGAGTCTGCTTTTAAAATACTCCCTCTTTCACTTAATGACAACTCTCTGTATGTCAGAGAGGTTTTCATTATTTAATGACTAAAATATCCCATGATATAATAACATTCTTTTTCTCAGCTTATTTAAAGAGTTTATTTCCCCTGTTTTCAGTAGAAAGGAGGAGTTTGCTTCCTTATTTACTAAAGTTACCATTTGAAAGAAGAATGAACACTGCTGAATATCGCTGCATGGTACTGTTGGATTTAGTATGCCCACATTATACTTATTATTCTTTTTATTATTCTCCCTGATGCTGCTGAAGCACTTAAAGCTCCCAGTAAAAGTGATATTCAGCTATGCTGACTATTATACAAACAAGACTGCCCCTGTTCATAAGGAATTCTTCTGTAATTTCTTCTGTCTCTGCATGTTACAATTTATTCATATGCCTACTGAGTTTCAAGTCAGTGACACTTTACTCTTCCATTAATTTCTCAAGTCTTTCTTGAATATTTTATTCAGAGTTGCTTTAATTCTTTGTCTAGAAGATGCTTTTTTAAAATATTAAAGGTGATTTCACATGGCAGTATAAAGCTCTATAATGTGTATTTTCCACATCCTGTTTGAGGAAGTGACCAGGATGTAGTAGTTAGAAAGCAGAAATACTGTGGAATCAGGAAAAAAAAAAAAAAAAAAAAAAAAAAAAAAAAAAAAAAAAAAAAAAAAAAAAAAAAAAAAAAAAAAAAAAAAAAAAAAAAAAAAAAAAAAAAAAAAAAAAAAAAAAAAAAAAAAAAAAAAAAAAAAAAAAAAAAAAAAAAAAAAAAAAAAAAAAAAAAAAAAAAAAAAAGGCTTATTTTGCAACATTTCTGATGCAGACAAATCAGGAAGCACAGATTTTTCTAAAGAAAGCATGCTGTTGTTAGGCAATCTTCTGCTTTGCTTCTGAAACATTTATCTACTCACTAACCTATAATTCTCACTAGAAAACAGATCAGAAAAGAAAGATGTTTTCCTTTTTTTTTTTTCTGATTGTGAAAAAGCACAGACTCACAAAATCTGAGCAAACAACAAAAAAAAGATGAGTGAAAAAACAATTAAAATATCTTTTCATAAGACATCCATATATGATAATTATGAGATATCCTTAATGGCCACAACATTCTCTGGTAATTCCTGGTTTATTCTTGGGTGTGTTGTATTCTGAGAAATCTTCTGCATGTGACACAGAGGAAAGTCAGTGGGAAACCTGTTCCCACATAGATTTTAAAGCAGGAGCATTTTAAGTTCTACAGAACTCTGCGATTTTCTCTCTATTAACTCTCTTAATGACATCAAAACATTTATAGCATGTATTTTAAAGGGTGCAATATCCATCCGATAAACACTAACATTTATTTCAAAGTACACTTGTAATAACAATTTTTCACACATTTTCAGAAATGTGTAAATAAGAATTATTGTTTGTATACCAGCTGCTCCTCCCCACTATATTCCGTTAAGGTTTTGTCATTGGTGTTAGTAATATTTTTTTTCAGGAATGCCACAGAAACCACAACTTTCAATTTCATTTGCTTACAGACATGTAAAAGAAACACATGGAAAAGCAATTAAAAAAATTGTAACTTTCACAGTTCCCTGAAAGTTAGTTCCTGCAGTTTCTCAGTTCGGGAACCTGGGCTCACCAAAACAATGAGCACAAATCGAGCTGCTCAATTCTCACTCTGAAGAATGTCAGTGAAAATTGTCATAGAACAAGCAGCACATTTTTATGGAGTAATTATTTTTATCCTCCGTCCCTATTTCTTTCTTATTCTATGTATAATTTCTCTCCAGGCACTTGGATTCAAAGCCTTTTGGTATCAAAAGACCTCTAGTTGACTTAGCAGAGCTTTGAATGGGCCTGGGCTGCTGTAAGGTGGGAGCTAATGAAAATTGTGGTTTTTCTCCCCTGGTGCCCTCTCAATAAAGTTTGCCAAGCTGCATAAAAAGCAGCGGCTCTATTTTTTTATGAAAGGAAACAAGGCTGTGCAGAGTGCCACTACCAGAATTATCTACCAAAGTTCAGTGCAGGCTGGCTAGCACTGAGACAGGATTTACCTCCTAGTGTGTGATGAGAGATGAGAATTCAATGCTTTGCTTTGCTTTTTCTGCTTTCCTTGTGTTAAAAAAAGAAAAAAAAAAGTTCAAGGCTTTTCACTGAATGAATTGAATTGTGAATCTGTGTTGGGGGATGAGGGGGGAGGCAAGCTAGTCATAAGTACATTCAGTTTTACCTCCTTGAAGTAAGAAAGGAGTACTGAGAAGGAATACTGAGCACTACCTTCTAGTATTAAAATACAAGATTGCTTTTCAGTAAAAAGATCGTATTTCAGACAAATTGAAACAATATTTTAGGATATATCTGTCCTCTAAAGTACTAAAGAATGGATATTTAGCAGTGATCTTTCCACCTTTGGAGCATGTTTTAAAATAAATTATTTCCTCGAGATGGTACAGCTACTCCCTGAAGTAGAACATAAATTTATTATACTCAGATGTTTTCACATAGGAAGGAGACCAACAGAACACCCTGGGTGGGAAGTATGCATTTTAAAATGACTTTCAAAGGAAAAGTTTTTTTTTTCATGTCGTACTAGAAAATTGTCATTTCCTTGTTATGATTGCAAATGCACTTCCTTTCATTCATGTGGAAAGTCCAAAAAGGGTCAATTATTTTCTGTGACTTGGAAAGCCTCTCTAAAATAGAAGCTCATAAAAATTTGTGGTTTTTCAAGAATTAATAGAACCAGTCATCAAATATCTGTGTATTAGAAGTGTACAGAAGCATGTGAAAAAAAGAGCACACTGGATAGATGTCTGCCACCACCACAGGGGGAAGAAGAACAACAGAGCTCAGGTGAGTGGTGGCTGTGCAGCCCAGAAATGATATGTTGCAGGTGAGAAGTTAAGAGCAGCCTACTTCTGACTCTGCCAGGCATTTCCTTCAGTGTTTTGACATACCTGTTAGTGTGCCCATTGTTCAGCTACTTTTAATTAAGATGCATTGCGTTGGCACCTCAGACATACCAGACAGAAAAGAAAGTGCATACGTGGATTGCACATGCACAGCAAATCCGACATGTCCAGGCAGGTCTGAGCCAATGTGACTGAGGTAAGAAGGGACAACACATGTGATGCTTTGCAGAAGCACTGGCATCCTGCGTGGGTGCTGTGCAGTCAACCAGGGCACGTCTGATGCTTTCCCCACAGTAAGCACAGAGCCTCTGGAAGAGCCTTATTCCGTGCTTCTACACTGGTAACAGGACTGCAGTGAACACAAATGTCATTTCCTACTCACTGGCATCTTCTGGTGACCTGGATATGCTAAACTCATGGACAAATATTCAGGAACATCAAATGCCGTCCATACAATGTTTTGTAATGGAAAGGGAGGACATGGCCAGGGAAACCCAGATTATGGGAATAATCTTAACCTTAGGGGAGTGCATCGGAGGGAACAACAGCATCTTGCACAAGGAGGAAGAACCCAAGACAGACAGAAGCATGTAGCCTGGAAATCAGACGATTGCTGTCAACAGAAATTCTCACTATGTTTAAAGCTATGAAAAGAACATCTGATTTTTTCTACACATTTTAGACAAAAAAATATATAGGTTGTTCTCCTTTTCTTTCCTAGCTATGAATTCATATATTAAAATTCCCCCCCTGAATTCAAAATATTGGCATGTCAAACTTTGAAAGAGGTGCTCCCCATCCCATGGAGCTTTTTTATTTTTTTAATTGAAAGAAAAATAAACTTTCCTAAATACATCTGTATGTAATATCCTTGATAAAGAGTAAATGAGAGAAAGCATCTGCTACATTCTTTTGAATGTAGGACAAAAGTTTCTCCAGTTATACTTGCTTATTTTCTTGTCTTTTAGAATAAAAGAAATTTTTCCTTCTGCCCACTATCAGCATACAAAATAATATTTATACTTGAAAGTGTGATCACAGGAAATGTTACTCGGGTATAAACACTGTTTTGTGGGTGAGAGAAGTTAGAATGTTTTGTTTCTATCAAAGATATCAGAGCAGCCATCTGTATATAGGTTATGCTATCTGTAAGCTAGTGTCAAGTTTTACTGTTCTACCGCCTGTGCTCTGATTTTTTTCCTGGTAAGGTTTCCATCATATGCTTTTGTTTTCCAAGCCAGTGGGAAAATCTTCCATTTTCTTTTGTAGTGAGCACTTAAAATATTGAAAAAAAAATCATTAAAAGAAATAATAAAAATGAGGATGACACTGGGGGAAAAGTACTATTGCCTGATTCAAGAAATTTACTCTCATTCCTGATACCATTTTCATACCCTCACAGAATGGTTGAGGTTGAGAGAGACCAAAGCCACCAAACCCAGAAGGATATCAAGTAGAAGTGTAAGTCTGTTCCTAGTCTGGTAAAATATTTGTTGATAAATTCTCTCCTGCAAGGAAAGTTGTCTTCTGCATTATTCATTGCCCCATAATCTTGCTTGGAAAGCAAAGAAGTAACAGTGGGACTTCTACCAAAGAAATATTTTTTTGTTTATTGGTAAGCCAGAGAAGCAGCTCAGCACCTGTTTGTGCTTCTTCTTTTCCCGTTCTTTACTTACTTACAGTGAACATTAAATTAGACAAAGTAAATTACATTTCTTTTAAATTACAGACGGGCTTATAGTCACTCATGGAAGTTTCTTAAAATGTTAGGAAAACAATAATCATGCTTACATTTTGACCATCATCTCCATTCAAACTCAGGCACTGCAAATATGTATTATCAGTAAGTAGAAAGTAAGTACTTGAAGCCAGGTGCACTATTTGAGGGGAGATCACAGCCAGGTGGTGACATGGTAGAATTCCATTTTCTGTATTCTAGACAAAAGTCAGAAAAAGCAAGAAGCTGCAAATCATTTCCACCTCAGTGTGTCAGAGCCCACAGTCATTTACTCCCTAATGACATCCCAGGACTTGGAATAAAAGGGATGGGAATCATGTGAGACTCTTCAAGGTAACACCCTGTCCTCTCAAATCACGGTTAAAGTCCCTCCTGTTTTCCCAATTATCAGGACTTTTGCTGTGTTTGTGTGTTTATCATTCCTCTGGTTTTGCAGATGAGGAACTTCAGAATGGAGAAATGGAATGAACTGACCAAAGCGATTAAGGAATTGGTGCCAGACTCCAAAACTAAATCCAGATGAGCCCACGAGGCAATAAATCACAGATGAGTTTGGCATGAAAAAACTCTTCCTTTTTAAATGCTAGGAATGCACTTGCTGTGGCCCAAGAAAAAGATGAGTCTTGATTCATCTGTAATCAAAGCCATAGTATGTAGAACGTGCTGGAATTAGAACACCGGGCAAAAAAAAATGTTTGGAAAATGTCAGATTTCCCAGGAATTTATCCAATGGTTCTGAGGATATTTTGTCTTTAATAAACTGTCTACAGTTGTGTTTTTTTCTTTACTCACCTTTTATTGCTAACACATTCAATCAGATCTAATTTGTTTATTTTATTTGTATAAATAGAAGACTATAGAGTTCAAGACAGCACAGCTCACAGATTGAAACCAGAAGATGATTTGATCATTCTCATGTTTTTCCCAGTGTACTGGGTGGTTCTTTCTTTATTCCCTTCCATCCCCCCTCCTCTCCTTCCTCCACTGCTGATGTTAATCAGAGTGAAAGGAAGTGACTGTTTTCCATTGAGAATGTTGATATTTGGTGAAAAAATAAGGGGTGGGAGAGTGAAAGGTGCACAGAAAACAAAACAAAACAAAAAGTTTACTGATTAATTCCTTTTTATCTTTGCCAAATGCTGCTCTAGTGTGGGAATGGATGGAGCTGGCAGTCACTTTCACTAAGCCGGAAATACCATCTTTAATAAATTCAGTTAAAGGACTGGATGGACACATAAATCTCTTTGTGTTTGACAGAAGCAATGTAATGTCAGAGGAGAATTTAACAGGGATCTGAGGTCAGCCTGTTTACTGTCTTTTTCCTTCTGTCTTTCTGACTCTCAGTACAAAGCTGAAATATTTACACTTAAGTATTGCTAATGCAGGATGTTAAGGTCATCAGCATGAGAACAGAGTGACAATAGTCTGTGTAAAAAACTATACAAGCTTCTTCAAAATGCTATATTTAAATACACTGGAACTCCCTTTGACTTTGTTCTGCCTCCCAAAGCCAACATTTTACTTGACTATGCATAATCCACCTTTCAAGTGCCTAGCACCTCCAAGGCTCAAATTCTGCTCAAACTGTTCTCAGAAAATTTTCATTATTACTACTTTCTAGGGCTTTGGTTGTTTACTAGGAACTTTGATCATTATTTTAGATTAACTAAATAATTGACTTCCAGTTCCAGCAAGTGTATTAAATGCTTTCTTTACATAGCACAATCATATTGTGCTGTGTCTTCACAGACCATGTACTCTGCAGCTGCTGAGGGAGCCAGGTGACTCTCCATTCTAACAGCATTTGTGCTGCAGAATCTCTACCAAAGGTGCCTGTGCCATTCATATGATAGTTCCTCAATAGAAACAGCCTAAGGTTGTCTTCCCTGGTAAGAGTCTGTACACGTGAGTTCACTTGCAACTTCTCAATCCTAAGGGTATTTTCCACGTACCTACGCCTCTCTTCAGTTGTAGTACATTAGCCTTGCCCTGCTAAGGCTCTTATACTTTTCCTGTCTCCTCTTCAAGATCGTTGTGGAACCTTTCCTCAAAGACTCCTGAGAGCTCCTCAAAGCCTAGCCCCACTAATTTCCTTCCTCATAAATGCAGAAGTGTGTGAGTAGATCATAGCTACTGGTCTTCTCACATATATCGCCAGTATCTGACTAAAAGTCACCTTCCTGTTTTAAAACTCCTATGAATCTGAGGCACCCTGAAGTATCTCAATTTTCTTTCTTTAATATTTAAATAATGATGTCAACAAATTTCTGGAACTGATAAACAGATTGCCTTTGTAGATTTTGTTATTTGTAATAACAGCATGCCACTCCCTCTCAGCAGTTCGCATTCCAAACTTAGTCTTCATCTAGAGACAAAGTCCCTCTCCACTTTTGTCGTGTTTTTCCTTAATTTGTACATTCATTTGAATATTTTTCTTTTTGCTCAAATAATTTGGGATAGACTTTCAAATTAATCTATTTATTCAGTATGGAAGGACGAAAATCAACGTAAGTGTATATACAGTTTGAAGAATATTTTTTATGAAAAAACCACAGTCTGCAAGTATTCCATCTACTTACTCTGAAGCGATTGCTTAGTTTATTGGTGTAAGTCACAAATGGCTTTAAGTAATCAGTAATTTTATATCTCTTAGGTGATGTTCCAAAACTCTGTTACAAAAGAATGATTACACCATAAAGAGTCTCTAAATGTTATTCTTTAGTGAGTTGAAATCTCACTATAATATTCACTAAATACAGTGTTTATGTCATAGGTTTTCCAAAAGTGGATACTCAGTAACAGTGACAATAGAAAACCCAAAAAGCTATGACAATGAATAATTCAGCTATTATGAAGCAATACTTCTACATGACTAAAAGTAATGAATGTGTTGCTTCCCCTTCAGGAATGACTTGGTAGATTTGCGTTCATCCTACTTTTTTTAATTTCCTATCAAGACAATATGACCAAGAGAGTATAAACTAATTGGTAAGAACCAATTAGCATTTTTAGTAAAAAATAGATCACAGAAAAAAACTCATCTTTATTTTGAATGTTGTGACTGAAGAGAAAGTTCAAGAGATGGGAAACTAAATTAGTTCTGCTTGTAAATTATGGTCTTAGGCCTTTTCCAACAGTGACTTCTTGGTTTTGCAGCAAATGCCTCTGATATTTTCCAATTCAGAGTGCTCCCTTGCTGTGAGCCTTCTTGCTATGAGGCCACCTGGGATCAAAGCTACTTTCCCCCTCCTGTGGTCTCAACTAACTCCATTAACTCTAATTACAAACACTTCTGTTATACCAACCAGATTTTATGGCTTCCAGTGAGTGAGCTACACAGAGAAGGAGAAAGTCCACATGGTACTACTCAGTTCCTTCTTCAGCATTATTGCTCGCCATACATTAACCTCATTCATGGTAAGCTCCAAGTTAGAATCACTTTGTCTTTACCTTGTGTAACTAAATGGAGGTTTAAATTGTTTCTTGAAGTACATCATTCCAGAAATTAATGAACTGGGCCAAAGCAAAAGTTGTACAGGATTTAATTTGTCATGTGTATCAAGAGTCCCAGAAACAGCTATAGTTTATAACGATGCAGCTAACAACTTTTCTTATTGCGCAATGCCATAAACCAAATGTGTGTCATTCTATATATACAACACACAGGGATGCATGCATCACTTGCTCTCAGCTTGATTTCTGATGTCAACGTTTTTCAAACTGTTCTTTAAATTTAAGTGGAAGATGAAAACTACCAGTTTACCAAGGATTGCACATTATATGACAGAGGAGTTACAGATTCTACCTGAAAGGGGATAAATAATACAGTTCTGGACTTATACAGTAATGGTCACAAGTGAAAATTCCCTTCTAGGGACTGTGGCAAGGAAAGCCTAACACTTTTCAGAGATGCAGAACCAAATACGCTCTAAAACCTGAAACAGCTTCCTCATTCCCTACTACTCCAAGCGATAAAATACATTTGCTGGTAATTAAATAGCCTTGATGAACTTTCTGTCCTCAGCTACCTATGGAAATACTGTCATAGTTTCTCCAGCAAGTACTACAGTCCTTTTTCTCCTTCAAGAAGCCCATTCATGCTCAGCCCTGCCCTCATTATGTGCTGTTTATCTGCATTTGCCTAACAGTCCATGCAAAGAGCCAGTGTCTTCTTCTTAAGCTCTGTGCCCAAGAAATCCCTGAGATACCTTTAATGACTTTATTGGTCTGCAGAAGCAGCTGAAGAGAATCCTTCCACTGCTGAGCACGGATCAAATTGTCTTCCTCACCTAGAGAAATTTCATCTTCATCTCCGTGACAGCCAGTCATGCTCAAAATTTGGTTTATCCCCTGCTACCTTATAAATCAACTTACTTCTACAGCTGAGGGCTTTACTTCATTGAGGATGAGTGAAGATGCCAGTGGAGGAGAGAAGAAAATAGCAGCTGAAAATGAACGGAGAAACTGTGCAACAGGAAAATCAAACTGGAAATCCCATAACTTCACCCACCTAAAAGCTATACATCTAATTTAAATTATCTAGGCTCCATCCAAAATCAGTACAAAAAGACAGACACTTCTGGAATGGATCATCTCAAATAAACTCTATTTTCTGAATATCTCTTTAAATTCAATTTTTTATTTTGAAATGTTGGTGGTTATAGAAAGAACCACATTGTAATTTCTTGAAATCACTCATTCTTCATTTTAAAAATATTAAAATTTTAGTTCTTCATTTTTGGAAAGGCATTTTTTTCACAAATTTCATATAATAGAATTCCTGGTTTTCCATAATTTTATTAATCAGAATTAGTGAGTTTTTTCCTCCTCTGACTACAGAACTCGCCTCAAAATAAATGTTGACACATACAACAGTCATTGATTCCAAAAATCCAAGATGGAAAAATTTTGCCTAGTATGCTAATATGTATCCTACAACATCATTGTTGACAAGAAAAGAAATCATCATTACTGCCATTTCTCTAAAAATTAGAAGAAAAGTTTTCAGTCATAAGCAGCTGAAACTGCTGCCACACCTGGAGATAGATTTCAGTAGTTATTTGTAAAAAATAGATGCCTAAATTTGTATTAATCACAATAGACTTTTAACTAAACAAAGTTGTAGTAAAGCACTTACGGACTTCAAAATGAGATGCAGCATTACTGGCTGCCTGAAATTGGTGACTTATTTGATAAAGAGGAAGTGACCAAGAGAGAATATTTTATTGATTAAATGTCTCAGGAACAATAAAACCTTTCAGGAAAGAAAAAAGATGAAATCCACTTTTTTTTTTTTTTTAATTTCATCTTCAATCTTT